ATTATACTAGATGCTTGTGTTAAGGTGGGTTACTGAGAGAAAAGGGGACAAAAGAAGAGGAGAGGGGAAGACAGAGCTAGCCAGCATGAAGTTAAATGATTGATTCAGGCAGAGTACAAAGACAAGGTCTAAATCATTAGTGAAACCATTATCGTTGACTGCAGCTTCTCTGTCATATAAATCACTTCTTAACTCACTGCTTTACTCCACACTTATTGTGTAAGCCACATAACCGTGAAACTGCCTACGTGCCTGTCTGCTTGTTGTGCTTTCACTGTATATGAGTTTATTTGAAAGCCCCAAAATATTCACACCTCTGTGTGTGTGTGTGTGTGTCTGTGTGTTTTTGTGTGTTTGTGCATTTGTACTCTTGTTTATGCAAGTGTATGTGGGCATGTGTGTGTGTTTCTCTCATATCAATATTGTAGATAGCATCTGACTTGGGTGTGATGTGAGGTAAAGGAGGACTGGAGAGGGTGGAGAATGAGGAGAGGATGAGAATAAGAGACAGACATAAAGAAAGGGGATTTAAGTGATGGATAGACACAGACTGAAGGATAAACGAGGATGAAGACAGATATAGGCTGAGGAAAAGTCTATAATGATAAAGAGAGAAGAACAGAAGCATTTTAAAGAGGGAGACAAGGAGTAGGGGAAGGAGATGAGAAAATAAGAGAGGAAGAGAGACAAAACAGAGAAAAGGAGGACTGTGGCATTTTGGCTTGCTGCTGGTGTTTTCTCATATGCAATGCTGAATAATGATTTAGCCTATAAAAGATTGGCACATTGCAGAGGGATGATGGTGAGGATACAGGAAGGAGGCAAGGAAAGAAGGAGAGAAATTAGATAAGAGGAAGACATAAGGAGAAGAGAGGTGATGAAGAAAGAGGCTTGCAGGGACGAAGAGGGAAAAGAAGGTGGGACAGAGGAAGGCTCAAGAGCAGATGAAAGATGATAGATGGGCTCCATTGGGCAGTGGTGAGGGCGCAGGAGGAGTGAGGGAGGGTGAGATGAATGGAGGAGAGAGGAAAGAGAGAGAGAGAGAGAGAGAGAGAGAGAGGAGGGAGCTGTCAGGATGATTTGAGCCTGCCCTCAATGGACCCTGACGCTGCACTTTTTCCCTAAGCAGCTGTGTGTGTGTGTGTGTGTGTGTGTGTGTGTGTGTGCACCTTCTTTCCAAACACTCCAAATAGAGATCTTGCTATCAGAGACAGAGCAGTGCGAGCTAAGAGGAAAATGTGGAGTAGACAACCAGCCGCTGCCTCAACAGGCTACATACTGTACACTTAAAAAAAGTTCTTTGACCTTAACTCTCTTGGTAGTTGAAAGGTAGTTGACACGGAGAATATCACTTTCTGTCAGATGAAAAGTATAGTAAGTATGTATCATTTAAGAGAGGTACTGTTCTCTATTCAATGAATACAAATACAAGCCTATTAAATGGCTTTTCTCTCCAATACATTCATAGAAAACTCCAAGTAATGAGGCATATGTCTAAAAACACTGTCAGACAACAACAACCAGACTTGTTGCTATGTCATTGGCAGGGTTAAAGCTGTAGTTTTACATTTTCGGGAAGTGTGCTTATTTCCTTTTTTTAGCCCAGAGTTGAGGAAAAGACTCATACCACTCTCATGTCTGTGCAGTAAATATGAAGGTGGAGTCAGCAGCACCTTAGCTTAGCACAAGGGCTGGGTAATAAAAAGGTAATAAAAATCACCAACAACAACACCTGGAATGCCTACTAATTAACATGTTATATCTTGTTTGTTAATTCCGCACAAAAGCTGACACGTTGTGCTTTTTCTGCAAGTTACTGTATGTGTCAGGCTATTTCGTGGCTGGTCTCAGGGACTTCTAAGAGTCTTGGACACTAAGCTAACATTTTTTGTACAGGTATCAGTCTTCTTATCTCACACAACAAACATAGCTGTTGGGTTATAACTCATCCCTGTCACCAATGATGAACAGATGTGGTACCATGGTGCCTGTCATGTGATGAAACAGGAAGTTATGGGAGTCATGATTGGTCATGGCTATACTGATCTTAGTAGGGGCACAAAGCTGTCTGTCAGTCGTCCTATTTATCTCCCTCCAGCTGCCTCCCGGCATTTAAATTGCTACTGTATATGAATCTTAATGAAAACATCTCTCTCTGTCTGACCGCCACTCCATCGATTTTGCCTGCAGAGCCAGCGGAGTGCTTGACAAAATGTGATGCATTATAGATTACAGATTACCATCTTAAATTGCAATCAGGGCCATAACAGATTAGATTGCTTCAACATAGTGACATAATAAAAAAAACCTTGTCTGACCAGGGGCACACTGACATAACAGTGCTGTTTGTGTGTGAGTGTGTGTGTTGATAAATGACAGATGAAAAGACAGATGCAACCATATCATGAGTTTTCTTATACGATAGAGAGAGACAGTGGGGAACCATATTGCCTGTTCATAATGTAGTCTTTGTCTACAAACACAGATGACTCCTTTGTCTCAACGAGATGAGTGTGTGTGCGTTTCTGTGTGTATTCTCCTCTTCTTAAACTGAGGATTAACTGCCGTTTTCTGCATCTCAAAGCTGTAATCTACAAGCTTGAGAAAGGGAACATATGGATAATGTTCTCATGACCATGTTAAATTAATCTGATGAAGCGAGAAAAATTAGAGGGGCAAAAGTGTGTTTCAGTGTGTGTGTGTGTGTGTGTGTGTGTGTGTGTGTGTGTGTGTCTCAGGGTTGTTGCCGACAATCACAGGGTGACCACGCATGTCTGCTCCCCAACAGACACACACCTCAATTTCAGGCTACCCCTGCGCACACACACAAACACAGACATGCACGCTCCAGGCGCCTGTAGACTTAAATAGCTCTGCGCTGTAGGAGACTTGTAAATAACAGCCTATTAGTCTTGAGATGTTACCACCAACACTGCAAATACCTCACTCTTATTGGCATGGTTCCACAATTACTTTTCAAAAAATTTAACTTGTCATTACTGGAAGCAGCCTGAAACTATGTTTAGACACAAACCAAAAGTCTTTCATTGAAGAACAACCATAAATACACACATACTGAATGTAAATACCATAATAAATAAATCAGAGCCTGTTGTTTCTAGCAGTTCAATCAGATTTTCTCCTCCTGGGAAAACTACTGGACTATAAATGGATGTAAGAAAGTCAAAGAGAAAGAGGAAAGGAGGGCAGGGGGAGAGAAAAAAGAGGGGAGAAGGGAAAGAGAGGGGTAGACAGACAGCGAGAGAGAGCATCGAATGCATTAAACTGATCCGAGAATAGGAACTGCAGAGTAAAACTGAAAAATGACGAGGACAGGGAGACAGACAGAGAAGCATGTTTTTCATTCCTACAGCACAGTGTGAAAGTAAAACAAAACAGAGCAGAGCACAGCGGGCCTTTTCACCCTTTCAGCGTTTCAACAAACAGCCAGCCGGTGAAATATTGATGCTTCAATTCTGACAAAGAAATGTCTGAATGATTTTGGTACATCTGAGTGGGGAAATTCACCTATCTATAATTGATATGGCTGAAATGTTAATAACTGGATGGGAAAGCACCGGAACAGAGACATAATGGGAGTGAGGGGGGAAGTGTGTGTGCTTGTGTGTGTGTGTTTCTGTATTTGTCTGCTCCTCTGCCTGTGTTATACATATAGTGCCAAGCAGGGACCACTACTATGTGTAGTTTCATGTACAGTAAGGCAAATGACACAAGACGAAAACATCAGTAAAGGCATTTATATGTTTTTGTGTTTTGTGTGTATGTCTTCAGCTCAGATGATTAGTAGCTACCCTGTCTCAGAATCTGTCCATGTTTTTTTTTTAATAAAAACAATTGCTTTTGCACTGCACGCCTAATAAAATGAGTCATCCAATTGTTTTTGTTTAACTTATTTAGTTGGTTTTATTACATAAATATTGAACTTGCAATCATCTTGTTGTATTTGTGTAATTGCCATTTTATGAGCTGCAGCTTCTATTGCACCCGTGGCCATCTGTGGAAAGGGGATCTCTCTTTTTTAATAGACTAACCTATAATGTCTCTCAATATGTATAATGTGTTTGTCTTTTTCAGTGCTTGTGCTAGATCATCATTGCAGATGCTGGCCCAAAAAGCCCAGTATGACTGCGTAAATTGGTCTATACCTGTTAACATGACTTCAATTCACCTTAATTCCTGGAAATATTATCTGATGTTTTGCTCCATGTCCCTTCTTATCCCATATGTGACTCTTTTTAAAATTTAATGTTCTTTCATATTCCACTTAAAAATATCTTGAAACCCATAAACATGGATTTACTATTAGTAAGATTTAGGATATTTGAACTTTCTGCCAGCATTCCTTCAGTAAGATTAAATTTGTGTTTGCTCCTTGTCTCATACCTTTCTGCCAGCATTCTTCCATGATTTCCCAGCATCCCTGCTTGTCTTTCTGTCTGCCTTTATCTTTGTGTGCTGTATTTTTATTTCATGCTGCAGAACCGCCTGCCTTTCTTGCAGTCTAACCACGCAACCAAAGCCAAAAAGCCAAAAACAATGATGGACACCAAAATCCTCTAATCTGTGTTAATTCTTCCTAAGTGTGAAAAGTATCCTGGAACAGTAAATGTGTTGTAATTAGACTTTGATAATTAGAGACAAGGGACCAAGGGAGGTCCCATCGTGATTATTACGGGATAGCTAAAGCCAGAGAAACAGGAGGAGAGTGGGCTGAAGTTCACCCAATACACCCAACAACTCTCTCACAGAGACAGGCTGGTGGAGACAGAAACTCAGAAGACACAGGAAGTTTTTTCACAGTGTTGTAAACTCCCCTCACTTCCCATCCAAGTTGCAATCTAACCTCTCAAGCTCTCCAAATCTTCACATCTATCTTTGAACTCACTCTTTTTAACTATTTTTCTCCAGGTCACTTTGTTTGCCGCCCCCGACCCCATGCCTTTAATATCCACCCATCCATCCGTCCATCCTGTCTTTACCTGCAGTCCAGCTTCTCTATCTCAAAGTGCGGGTTGAAGTTGAGGACGATGCGTTGTGAAGGCTCGGGGGCTGTGATGGTCCAGCGGCAGTTCTGGTGAGGTGGGTACTCCAGCGGGTAGCCGGGGGTGGTGATGTAGCCAGCATCACTGGCATCTAAATGGCCACCGCATGGTTCAGACGCTGGATGGGGAGAGGGAGATAGAAAGTGAAATAATCTTATATACAAGTAAAAAAAAGTGGATTCAGAAATATGTTTATATTCTATGGCTTTGGTCCACTGTAATGTATGGAAATCTTCCTATACAAGTAGTGAAAGCACTGAAAGCTTTGATGAAAACAGTGATTATGCTCAATATTTTTCCATAGGTTAATACTCAAGTTCACACACTGGAATAAGGGCATTGATTAGTGTTTGTAAATGTGATCAAAACAGCTAAGATAAAAGAAAGGGAGAATAAAGTGGCAGGCATATAGCTTTCCTCACAGCAGCAGATATAAGTCTAGAGTACCATCAGGGTCAATGTACGCTTGCTTGTCATGACTGACCAGGAGGACGTCAATAGTTCTTTACATATTTGTTCATTAAGCACTATGAAAAGGGCAAAACTGATAAAATGCAGTTAAGAGTTGTGTTTGCAAAGACAGGATATGAGAAACAAAGACGTGTGTGTGTGTGTCTATGTGGATGTGGTGTCAAAGGTCAACTCAGCCTCATGACATACAAAGACTCTATTCTGACCTATGAAGACTGACACACACGCACACACACAGTGAACGTGTCCTCCAGATGCCACAGTTACTGTGACAGAGCGGATCCACTTGTCAGCAGTCATATGTCTGCGTCGTGTCATAAACAATGCCACTCATTCACTGCCGCAGATGTACCCTGACACTGATGGGTAACTCATATATTACTGTGACACCCAACGGCATAACAGACACACAACTCTACTGTATTACATCTGTGGCATCTATTATACACCATGGAGGCTGCCCGGTTTGATGGGCTGTGCGGACCTTCTGCTTGAACTAAACGTCTTCTTTGTTTAAGATCCGCAAAAAAAGTTAAACCATCATGGTGGATGGATATACTGACTACCATCTTTCTAAAGCCCCAGCGCATCCAATAAAATAGCACAGTACAAGCCACAATCTGACTCAATAACCAAAGTTGTTAGTTTGTTAATTTAATATCCCCAAAAAGTAGATAATATAAGTAATAGTGTCGGCCAGTGCTTGCAGATAAATGAGTTATTTTAGACAACTATCTTAAATGTACTAAAATCAAGTGCTTCTCTTTCATTAAGTGGAATGCTGCTTTGGAAGAACTAATTTATCCAAGGAATTATTCCTGCACAGAACTGTGATTACACTGTTCATTTGGACCTAAGCAGATGAATTTTCCACAAATATTGTGGGCTAAATGATGGCCAGGTTAAGCTAATAAAAACAGCATCTGTGAATGTCGGCTGCTTGCTGGGAAGTGTTTGGCCCGTAAACAACCCCTTAGATAATTTCCTGTTTATGAGAGAAAGAACAAACTTACAATCGGGGCTCCTGGCAGTCTATATTATGGTTTCAATCAGAGCTAAATGTGCCTCAAGAAACCAGCCTCATAAAAAAAAAAAAAAACTGCTAATCTTTGTGAAGACGTTTTGTAACTTTTTGGTCTGTGCCAGCGTCTAGCCCGCTGTGCTATGCTGTGCTGAGTGAGGTGACATAGGCAACTCAAACTACTCAGCAGAATACAACATATTTTAACGCTATAAATAGACTCCTGGCTACTGTAAATCTTCTCTGAGAGGAGTCACACATGCAAACATTAACACACACACACACACACACACAGCGTAAACACTTTATCGAACACAATCCTCATAACAAATTCGGATAGGAGGGTAAAACAAACTCTCAGCATCTTAAATCTCACTTTTTTCCCCATCATGGCTGCGAATATGTATGCGCGTGGAACGATGCACGTACTCTCACGCACTCAAGAGTCAGCGAGGGAAGATGAAAGTGAAGGTCAGAGCTCGGCACACAGTACGCAGAGTGACTGACACTTTGGCATCTATATCTGGTGTCTACCTCACACTGTCTGCAAACAATTAGTGATCACCCCTCTATATCTCTCTGCCTCTGTCTGTCTTTCCTTTAGTCATGCTGTGAGCCAACTAGTCCTGTCTATCTCCTCCAATCTGTTTACAATCTCCCTGGTGACATACAGTAATACAGGAGTAGAGTTACAAGGCCTACATAACCCGGCCAGACGCATTTCATCTCAACCCCACCTGGATTAGTGTTTAACCACTCTGGAATCTCACAGCACCCTCAGCCAAACACCACTTTTAGCACCGCTTACTGTAGCTAACTGTCTCTAATGAAAAATCTGGGATGTGCAGTGCGAGGGGGAAACATCTAGAAATTTAACTGATTAATAATCTATTGCTTGGGACTCATAATGCATGCTTAGTTTTTATTGGGATGGGTCTTAAAATGAGAAGACTGCAAATGTGTTTTCATTAGATATAATCCCCGGGTGAGACAGTGAAGGTTTATTCTTTTTCATAGGCTACTTTACTCTTTACTTTGCTTTATCTTTCAACTTACTTTCAACCATCTCCACAAACAACCAGTGGATTTGCAGTTGAGGGGGTAGACACAATAACACTTAAAATCTAATTAATTCCAGTACAGTTACACATTTAGTTACACTTTATGAAGCATATGCTTGATTTTTTAGACTGTGTCAAAAAGACTTTTACATTTATCTATATTATTCTTAGAATAATCTTTTCTGTTGATGAAATGTGGGCGGATGTCGATAGCGTGCTTTTCTTTGTCTGTTTATCTTCTTTTTTTATTATATATTTCTACTCTGAATAACTACCCTCTCCTCTCATCTCCTCACCTCTGGCGCGCAGCCGATAAAGCCAGCACCTCCACGTTTCTGATGAATAAGGCTGGTGTGATAGAGAGGCAGACGCTGTGTGTGCGTGAAGTATTATGTCTGCTCTGCTTTAAGGGTCTATCAATCTCGGGACACATACACACACACAAAGCCATTCAACGATTATCACATCCAAACAGGGCAGGAAGTGAAACAAATTGATGACATCACATCCTCTTCCATAAAGTGCCACTAAACACATTTTAAGAAAATGTAACACTGTTTGCTTATTTGGTTCATGCGCATAGATATACATACATTTAAATGTCTGCTGAGGCTGAGCTCATCAGTCATTATAATGTAGAATTCCTGCAGTGAAAGACCGATAAACTGGAGGAGTGAAACATTTTTCTTTTTGGAGGGACAGCTCATAGCCATTGTTATGTCTATTTACCAAGAAACTATAAATACAGCTTCCGAAAGTAAATCTATAGCAATGCTAATTTGCATTCCACACTACAGCACCCTGTCCTGCATGCTGGGAAGAAAGTGTAATGTCTGTGTGTGTGTGTGTGTGTGTGTGTGTGTGTGTGTGTGTCAGAACAGAGGAGATGCTGAGTTAGGAAAAGGCCTGAATTCATGTCAAGAAATATCAAACAGGTAAAAGTGGCAGAAAAAGAGAGAAAGAGAGATTGTGATGGAGAGACTGTCAAAGAGAGAACAAGAAAGGGAGCAGAAGAGATGTGAGGCAGGAAAGATGATAATGTAGGCGTTGAGAGAAAAGGGAAGAAGGGAAAGAGAAGTGTTGCAGTTGCTTTAAATCTTAAAACATAATTTTCCCAATTGGACTTTGTTTTAGAGACGTTGCTGTCGGTGTAACAAATGTTATGGTAACCAATGACATGATGGCCAAACGTACAAAAACAAAATCAAAATTGTAATGACCCAAAACTCGGCATGATACTGGACTCTGCACTAAACTTCTATGGTGAGTTGGTACCTCCTGTTTATAAGACAATATCAGCATAGGATGAAACAAAAGTGCAACATCAAATACATCACCAACTTTCTCTGTCTCAGTTGGTCCATCACAGAGGAAATAAACACTTCCCTCCTCTTGACCCCCGACTTTGCACAAGACAGCATCACTCTCTACCACATCAGCATGTGTGATCTTCAGGGAGAGCTTGTTTTTAGACCACAGCTTCACAACAAGCGCACAAACACAAACTGCTGAACATCACTTCTCCCCCCCTCTGGCTTAGACATCACTGAATTCAGACCACACACACAGAATAAGCAGCAGTAAACGGTGCTAAGCAGTCAAGCAGGGATATAAGACAGGTCACTGCATTATTTATAGTTCTGCCACGTTCAGTATTGCATCCTGATAACACCTATTCAGCAATTTTCCCCCACATGTGCATACCACGCTTCCACATGGAGCTGCTTTGCAAAATTGAACTAGATCCTTGTTTGTTGGCCCCAAATGCAAATTTTCTGACCTTGTTTCTAAGCTCTCTTACAGATTCATGTTCCTTCAGAGTAGGGAGTCTGATTTGACTCTAAAGGGACACTTTCCAGCCTGTCACAATCGATTTGCTCGTGTGTGAGAACTGTGCTAATGAGTTGGACCATAGTCCACATTCATTTTCATTGGCCACAATGAAAGCATGAGTGGTTTAGTAAGAGTGTAAGAGAGGGAGAAAGTGTGTCTCACCCAGCTAACCAGAGAGCTTGCTAGGAGAGAGGCTATCATTTGGCAGATCAACTTATTATCCACCAACACTGGCCCCGATACTCAGCACAGTGAGTCTCACATTATCATTATTGTTACCCTGTTGGACGCAGGTCCTTAAATCAGTATACTCTGACCATCTGCATCAAAGCCTGAGAGGGGGCGAAGATATTTTTTCCCATTGATTTCCCTGCATTTCTTACTGTTTACAATGGATTTTCAGAAGGATGGCTTGGGTCCAGCATCATGAAGCATTCACAGCGAGCTTCAGGCATTGTTACCTTAAACGGTGAAAATACAGATAGATTCGCAGTAAAAAGCTTTTATGTGACTCTCTGTGTATGAGAAACAGTGAAAATATCAGCCTGAAATGTCTTCTTTGGACCAAAACCAAGGAGCTTTTAGTCATCGAAACCTGGGAAACCTCAGGAATGGACAGAAAGAGAGAGAGAGAGAGAGAGAAAGGGAGAAGGAGTCAGAGCAGGACGAAAGAAAAAGAGAGTGCCAGAACATCTGTCTCTCATCATCTGAAAAGAGAAAGTCAGCAGCTCA